TGCATAAACAATCGACCAATAGGTGTAAATGGTACACTAGACTGCATAAACAATCGACCAATAGGTGTAAATGGTACACTAGACTGCATAAACAATCGACCAATAGGTGTAAATGGTACACTAGACTGCATCACTTGTAGGTCACCACTCTTTTTGTTTCTGTCTGTCTTTCTTGATTTTCCCAGCTTCAAATGACCTTCTTTTGAATTTCTGTGCTTCTCTTTACTCAAACTCAAATAATAAATTCAAATGAGTTTTGCTTTTCCCTTTTCATTGCTAGGCCCTCCAGCATGTAACTGTATTTTGAGGTTAATTAGGGTTGTTGCAGAGTTAGCTAAGAAGCTGTGCCATACTGTGGCGGAAGAATGTAGTTTGTAAAAGTCTTTGCATGAACTGTCTCAGTAGCAAAACAAGGTGTTGGATCATAGATATCTGGCATCATGTTGATTTTGAAACTTGTATTGTTAAAAATAAAAAGCAAATAAAACAAAATTTTATTCTTATCAACTCATAAATAATGCCTCCCTGTCACACTTCAGAGGGTTATTTTCCTTTTCTTAAAAAAAAAAAAAATAGCTTCCAAATGGTCACTTGGTCCTTGAAGGATATTTTATAAACTGTCAAGCAACCCTAGATGACTTCATCTTTAGGCTTTAAGATGGGTCATCCACCTCCAACTATCCTCCCTCCCCCCCCCCTAAAAAAAAACCTCATGTAAATATACATGTACAAGCTCTTCTACTTAAACAATAGCTACTACAACAACAACAACAACAACAACAACAATATCAAGATTCCCATGACCTCACAATAACTGATCTTTTTAACCTATCATTTTCATTCTTCTGGAAACATAACATTGCCATCTTCTCATATATATTTATGTTGATCCAGAAACGCATATGATCGTGCCTTTTGTCTCAATGTTATGTAACAGATTAATGGCTGGATGCAGAAATCCAACAAATACCAAACTGCGAAATGGATTTTGTCGGAGTCTTGCATCGGGCCATCAAGATGGTAATGGTCAAGTTGATCACAACAACAGTATATACTTGATATGAAAAAGAAAGAGTTTCTTCTTCTTCCTTGTTCTCGATAACAGCAGCTAGACAGTCAGTCCGATGTCACGCACAAACTGTGCAGTCCGCTTCAAATCTGAGAGACTGCCATAGAGTTTTCTCTCAAGAGGAGTCACATTCTGCCATGTCTGTGTACGAAGGGTGGCGTAGTGCGGGCAGTGCTGAAGGGTATGGTTGGCATCCTCTTGGTCGTGTTCACATTCGCAGATCGCGGGGTAAGAGTTGATATATAGGCCTAACTTAAATCATTTTTTTCATATGTTCAGGCATGTGAGGCAAGTGTTGTGAGTGGCTTTAACTTCCCTGTGAAGGATGATGGGACTTGTCTCCTTGTTGCCCAGCCTATCATAGCCCTGCAGCTCAAGGGAAACCCATTGGTAGGTAAAAAATATATGTCGCCTTTGTGTCTGAATGCAAGTTTTTGTATTCATCTAATTTTTTTCTTTTTGAAAGTCTTGAGCTATTAAATGATTTTTTTTAGGTTTATGGTTTGTCTGGAAGTGATTTCATAAATCATATTTATTATGAACTTTTTTTTTTTTAAATCTCACCCTTCTATTTTATTTCTATTGTGTTTATCAAATGTTCGGATTTCAAAGCGAATCATTCTGTGCCTAGCAGGTCAATAAACTATAGCAAGACAAAGCAAAGCTATCGGTTTTGTTGATCATTTTCAGATTCGCTGCAAGAAGTCTGAGCAGTTCCTGACAGGCAAAGCATTGTCAGATGCTGCAGTGTTCAAAGGTCAGTTGGGAGTTGGGACTTCAAGATACATTTCAAGGTAGTGTCATGTATCACATTGGTGGAAAAATGAAAACTAACAGTGGGATAACTTACATAAACATGTGTGTTGAGAAATTGTTTTGTTATTTTTATTAATGTTCACTTTTTTTTTCACTTTTTCACTTTTTCATCCTCTGTTGTCATTGAGAGACAAGGAGAGATTCAGTTGTGAATAATTATAATATTAATATGGTAGGCCTATATTTTCTTTGCCTTCCTTCTCTCTTCTGTAAGGTGCAATAGTGGTGGGAGGGTGCCAGTGGTAGGTCATGCATCTTTTCTTCCCCTCTCTTGTTTCTTTTTTTGCCTTTTTCCAGCACTAAACGAACATAATGATTTCAATGTGCTTCTCTTTACATTAAGAAATATTATTCTGTAAACAATCGACCTGTTGTTCCACCGTTGAAATTGCCTATTTGTGCCCAGAAGGCTATTTCACTGGTATTTTAAAAAAGCAGGAAAGGTTAAGGCAAAATTTCCTATTCAATATGCAGATTTATTCATAATGTGTTGTTTATCTTATCCTTTTCTTGCAGAAGCTGTTAAAATCTTATCTGAGGAGGTTGTTAGCGGTGCAAAAGTGTCTGATAATCAAGACTTTCTTACATCACTGGCAGTCAGTCACTTTTACAAGGTAAGTAAACAGAAATGCCTCTCACATGATCCTCTCTTTTATTAGTCAATAATATTTTGCTACTACAAAAATCTTTTTAAAAAAGAAAACATGAAAATATGCAAAAGGACCCTCTCAATTAAAGAACTAAGCAAGGCCTGAGTGCTTCACAAAAACAAGAGGCAACATAATCAGTTCTTTATATTGTGATTAAAAATCTAGATACAATTATTTAATCTAAAAACAGAAGTGACTTGAGTTAACCTTTGAAGTTTTCTATATTTTTTCCATTTAGCACTCTTTTTGTTTTCTTTTGTTCAGTTTGTATTTAACATTCCTTAAGACCTCTGATTTTTCGTTTTGTAATCCATTTAGAATGACTTTATAATTTAAATTCTATTCTTTCAGTTTGTATTTCTTTTGGTATTCCGTTTACATTCTACTCTTTGGCGCTCATGTGACCTTATGTAGTTGCGAGCGCCGTAAAACCTCTACAAAAACTAAACTATTCTACTCTTCCAGTTTGTGCTGAGTGCATGCAAGACGCGGCTGCCAGATCAACTTGTAAGTGGAGGCAGTGACCTTGAGCGAGATGTAATGTCAGGCACTCAGGACCTCGGAACTCAGAACCCAGAGAATTTTCCGGCTTCTTCGGCAGTCATGAAGTTGACAGCTCCCTCTCTAGTAGGTAGTTTAAATCAGTAGATCCTGCTGTAACGGCTACCTGTCCTAGACAATCACCTGTATGAATGACCAATTCCCACTTCCCACTTCCCCTCTTGTGTTTTTTTTTTGTCTAGGATTTTTAAAAGACATTGTCCAAGATATCCACTTGTCTAACACAGTCACTGTTCTTTTTGACGATGGGTGACTGTCTCGGACAATTTCTATTGTAATGTGTGGTATTGTTTCAGGTTACAGTGTTTAAGTTAGGATTTTTTAAACTGAAAGGATTTTTCAACTGGCAAAATGACTTAGGTGTGTCTTTAAAGGAATTGATACTGTCTGTCATTAGCCTATTTTTTGAGTCATAAGATTGTACTTTTGAAGAAAGATGTATCAGGAGGAAGCTTATTTCATTTTTTTTTAAGTTAACATTTTGCATGTTATCATCTGTGTGTTGAAAGGGGGGGGGGGGG